AGGAGCTGAAGAAGGACGGGAGGGATAGTCGGCGGGCGACCGCGTGTGCTGCCTGTGGGAAGCCGAACGATCTGAAAGCGTGCTCCGGTTGCGGACAAAGATTTTATTGTGGGCAGGCATGTCAGAAGGTGGGCCTTTACAGTCGGCTGGAACATGGGCTGACGCTTGCTAGGCTCATTGGAAATCTACTCACAAGCGGGAATGTGCGGCGGAAAAGAAGAAGCACGCATCGGGTTGATCTTTTTCTCAGTAATATGTACATCGACCGTTATTAGGTCGTCTCTGTGTACCCAACGTATGCTACTGCATTTTAATCTTGAGACGCACAGTCGATTCCAGATGAAGAATGACTTGTCGAGTTGAAGGCCAGACCGTACAATCGTAAAGCGGACTGTACACAACGAGCTCAAGTAAACTGCTTCCAAAACGCATGCGCTGCCCACTCGCCATCGAGTCTCGCAGGCCTGACCATCCGCCCAGCTACATTAGAGACATCGGTGTACTCCAGGGTCCACAGCTCCTGCACGCCTGCACGATGTAGATAGTCCGGGATTCGGGCATAATTGAGCCCTACTGCATGCGGTCCATGACTGTCGTCCGAGAGCGCTAGACGCCCGCCGTGTGCGAGTATTACCTAGTAAGGGTCAGAGGGGTAGTGAAGAGGGTGAAACAGCGCGTACCTCGAGGATATCCAGCCCGGGATACGGCGTCTCCCAGTTCTTCCGCAACGCTGCGGCGTTGACCTCGAATATTGCGCCATATTGGATGGCATACAGGATATTGCGCTTTGCGAGCGCGAATGCGTCAGGGAAGTCTGCGAATCGCAGACCGGGAGTGTAGAGGCGACACAGGTCGAAGTGCCCAACGACCTCTGGATGTAACCGCCGCAGCATCTCATACTGTCCCTCGAAATACGCGACGAGGAAAGCGTTCGTCGACCCTGCCTCCGCTTCAGCCTGGCGGAATGTCGCTTCGTCAAAGTCGATGGGCGTGCCGTTGACGTGGTGAACCGAGCCGACGATGTACTCGATGCGTCCTGGATGACGCTGGAGTAGCTTTTCTACGCCGTCGAGGTCAATTGGGGTGATGTATTCCGTTTCGAGACCGACAAGGAGGCGAATTTGAGGTGAATAGAGCCTTTTTAGTCGGTGGGCTTCGTCGAGGAAAGCATCGAACTGAGAACTCAAGTCGTCGAGTGTCATACCAGCCTGAATTGCTTGAGAATGTTGTTTTGAGGCCAAGCCGACGCACAGACCTCTTCGGGATACAAGTCCTCTGTGCGATAGCGGGGAACATGTTCTGTCAATCCATACACCGCGAAGCCCTTCCTGATAGCTTCACGGACGACATCTTCCAGCGAACCGACTGCGTGCTTGCAGAATTGGCCAGAGTGCGAGTGATGGCTGTGAGGCATCGTCACAGCACTTGCGAGCAACGATCATGACTGGAGAACGTGGAGACTCACCTTGGCCTCTTCCATCATGTCTTCCTTTGCATCCAGATTCGGGACCAACTACTGCCCTGCGGACGACGAAATCCATGAAATCAACGCGCTTCTCGAAGGGCCTTCCGCTCAGCTACTCGAGTTCGACACCAAAATCGCACAACTCCAAAAATCCATAGATTCTTTGATTGCCCAGCGCAGCGAGGTCGCCTCGTTCGTCGCGGAACACAAGGCCCTCCTCGCACCCATCCGTCGGTTACCCATGGAGGTTCTGCAAGCGATATTTGTTGCTTGTTTGCCCACCGAACGACACGCTGCAATGGTCGCCGAGGACGCACCCATCTTGCTCATGCAGATCTGTAACAGCTGGCGACAGGTTGCGCTATCGACTCCACGCCTCTATACACGCTTCCATGTCGACGCTGTCTACACGGAAAATCCCGACTACTATCCCGAGATGATAGCGCACCTATTCCAATGGCGGTTGTCCACGATGAAGCTGTGGATATCGCGTTCACGGTCCCTCCCGCTTTCTATATCCCTCTCGGGATACACGCCGACGGATACCGACGCCACCTCCATCGAGGATTGGCGAATATTCCCGTTCTTCGCTGCCCTACTCGATGCCGCATCGCAGTGGGGAGACATCGTACTTGATATTCCCGAACAAATGCTCGATGCGCCGGGCTTCCTCGCGCTCACACCCAAACATGTCCCTCACCTTCGGCGTCTGGAACTGTCCCCTCGCATATACAGTCCAGACCACAAAGCGCGGTGGGGCAATGCTCCTTTCTTCGCATCTCGGACCCTGCGCTCTGTCCACTTCGACAGTCCGAGTCTCGTCTCCCCAATCTCACTTCCGCTCCAATGGGCTACCATTACGGACCTCACCATCCGCGGGCCCAGTTGGCAGCTCGCATTCACCCTTGAAAGCCTCCTCACGTTTCTCTTCCCCGCATGCTCCTCCCTCGTCTACTTCACGCTGTCCATGTCCGAATACGGTAGAGTGCTTCCAGTCATGGGCCAAATCGAAGCCCCCGCACTGCAAACTCTCACTCTCTATGTTCACACCAACATGTCTAGCCCTTCGCTGCGAGCGCTCGCGTACCTCTCTCTACCACAACTCCGCCACTTACGTGTGTTTGGCGCCCAAACCAGGGGGGCACAGGAGACGTTGAGTCGGCTTGCCATCGAGCGTTTCTTCGCGACATGCTCGAAGCTACGAACCATCTGCTTCAACCCGGATGCTCTTATGAAGCATGAGCTTCAGACCCTATTGCGTGCTTTACCGAGGACTGTCAAGCGGCTGGGGCTCCTGCAGATGGAGATATATGAACCCGACGAGCAACAGACTCTCGACGACGAGGTTCTGCGACTGCTGGTCGACCCGACTGATGTCGTCCCGGAGCTAGAGGAGCTATCGATATCCAACGTGCAAAGGGTTACGGACAACGCCATACACCGATTTGTACTTGGCCGGGTCGCTTCCCAGCAGCCAGTCTTGAAGAAGGCACAATTCGAGTTCTTACGCCCGCCTTCTTCCGACTCGAGCGTTCCGTATGGTTTCCTCGGCCACCCAATCGTCGGCCCGTTGATAGAAGCGCGCAAGCTGGATCTCTCATTTACATACCCGCCGCTGCCACGGTACAATGGGCACCCTCCCGAGAAAGTAAAGCATATGTGGGAAGGCGCGACGTTTTTCGAGGACGAGAATGAGGCGGAGTAGTTTTGCGTAGGACGGAATGACGGGATGAGGATGTGTGAAGTCGCAGAGAGCAAATACACAGTTGTAATGTACAGTGTCCAAATGAGAGTCCGCAGCTCTATACTCTGACAGTCCAGACACGAGGAGGACACCAGCAAGGCCGCTTATGACAGCGGCTCCGCCTAGCAACCTCAGCGCTGGTATTGGTACGTGTCCACGGGCAACGGAATTTGGTGTAGAGGATGCTTGCAGAATTGGCCCGCCGGCGGAGTGATGGCTGTGACTCGGAGGCATCGTCACAGCACTTGCGAGCAACCACCACGACCAAGAGACACTGCACCAATTTCGTTGAAAACTGCTAGAACTCATCCATGAGCTGACATGCCTGGCTCGATTACTTGCGCAATCTGCGCTCCGACAGCTTCAACTCATCCGGTCCGTGCCATTTCGAGTGCATCTCCCACTGCTGACAATCTGCGTGCTCAGTGCTCTTGCCTCCGAGTCACTGTCGGATTCAGGCGTTCTCCGCCGTTCAATCTCGTGCCTCGGTAGTGCGGTTTGTGATCAATATACTGGAGTCAAGCCGTAGGATGTACGTTGCATCCCCTCACAGTTGAGCGTATCTCATCTTGCTCAGCAGGCTCAAGAAGGCTCAAGATCCATCAACATTTCACGCCCGTGTTCTGTCCGCGACTGCTGGGCTGAACGAATGCGGGAGAATCAGCTTTCCGGAGGTGCGTTTCGTCGTGAAACTCGGGATTGAATGAGAGCTCAACCAGTTCATGTAGCTGGCTGTCCCGCAACCCTTTCAAATTACATTCAAATGTACCTCGACAATCTACAATGCATACACGACGGTGTCCTGCGGAGAAACGCCATCGTCTGTCTTCGCCGCCATGGCCTACTCAGTCCTCGGACTACCTGCTTCGGGCACAAATCCTGAGAAAGAGTGAATTCGCTGGCGGGCCTTTCCTCGACGACGGATGGTCGATAGCCCGAATGCGGGCAGTACTGGAACTGGGGGACGGTGTATGTCGCGCTGGGAACGTCGATGGCTCCTTGTGCGCAAGCGAGAGGACTTGGTGGATGTGATGCTGAGCGCCTGCTGCCGCTTCGATACTGTCAACGCTCCAGCAGCCAGCGGACTGTTTTCGTCGGCGGCAGCGACCCGCATTTGGACAGAGGTGGGGGAGGGGGGGATCTTGGGACGCTGGAATATCCCGGAAACGACTCTGCGAAGGGACTTCCAGCCCCTCGTCATCTTTGTCTTTCCGCTTGCCACTGGCTTCTTGTCCAAGTGGGCGGGTTGGACGGCCTGCGAAAACGGGAGGGCTCCAGTACTACGCGCCTTCTTCAGCTGGCTCTCTTCCCAAGCGGCGATAACACGAGGCGGTGGATCGTGAGCCGGTGGCGGAGGCCAGTGGAAGTCGAAAGCGCTGGCCAGAGGGGACGCGACATCCGCAGATCTTTCTGGCGCATTGCAGTCGGAGTCAATGACCTCGCCGGTATTGGGCATTGTGTTGTGGATGAGATGGAGGAAGGCGGGTGGCGCAATGAGAGGCTCGGGCAGAGGATGGTCGGGGGACATTTTGCGACAACTGGCGTGCGGCTGGAGTGGCCGTCATCGCCTTTATAGGCTCGTTGGCAGCTATGGCTTTGTCCATTCAAAGCACTGTTAGTACCCATGTCACGCAATTTGGTATCTTCTGCCAGGTCTATGTCTGTACCTTATTACTTACCGAGCGGTCTCACTGAAGCGTTTCCCTCTGTGAAGAACCTCATTGGCGACCCCAAGAAGTACTCGACGCGCATGTCTAGAGACTTGAGGTGCACAGTATTCAAAAAAGTAAGCGACCATGATGGGAGTCGAACCCACAATCTTTGCCTAGCATAGGCCGGAAAGCAACGCGGTAACCATTTCGCCACACGGCCGACAATTTTGACGTTCTGGTCGTCTCCTGAAGACACGTGGACTGTAAATTACCGTGAGCGACGTCCTGACCGCATCAAAGGCGCCTCCTACCCCACGCCACGATGTCGCTGTGCAGCAAGTGCGGTACTCTCGTTCCCGAAGAGGTCTTCACCAAGGACGCTCTTCGCAGCCGTCTGTATGAAATAGAACTCCTCATAGACGCTCTTGTCGCCGAGCGCGAACATCTGCTCGCTCAATCCAAAGCCATAACTTACCCCGTCCTCTCTCTCCCCACAGAAATCACCGCCCACATCTTCCTTCACTGCGTCGGCGCGGCGAGGAACGTCGGTGGAAAACCAGAACCACGACCCTCTGAAGCTCCGCTGCTTCTCCTTCGGATATGTCGCGAATGGCGTACAATCGTGCTGGGAACACCTGCACTCTGGGCGAACGTTAGCGTGGGCAATGAGCTCCCTGCGAACGTTCATGACCTGTGGTTGGGGCACGCAAAGCTATACCCGCTGGATTTATACGTCCACCTCAACAACCCCACGCTGGCGACCCGTCTTGTGGCTGTTTGTCTCAAATACGCCGCGAACTGGCGAGACGTCTCGCTAGGCATCCCGTTAATTGCCTATGAGCAGCTCATCGCTGCAATTGCTCAATCCGACTTTGTCCTCCCTATCCTTCGCGATGCCGCGTTCCGGATTCACCACCCATCCAACCAAGGCGTCGACGGGGTCGTCACCATCCGCGATGCTCCTGCGTTGCGCAAGTTGGCCATAGTTACCCTTCCATACCTCCAAATTTCTGCTCCTTGGGGGCAGCTCACCTTTCTGGAGCTGCGTTCCCGGCTGCTCCTCGGAGCATGTCTCGGGATACTGGCTCAGTGTACCTCACTCGAGGAGCTCGAGGTCGAAATGAGCCTTGAGCCCGATCCCAATCCCATCGTAGCTGCCTCCGCCACCAAGCCCCTCGTCCTTCCCAGGGTCAAGACGCTCACATGCAATCTTTACAACGCTCAGTTCCTTCTGCCATACGTCACGCTTCCGTTCCTCACCCAGCTCACCACGAGGGACAACACCTCGGAAAGGACGGTTCATGTCCTCCCGGCATTCATTGCGCGTTCAGGTCCGCCTCCTCTGCGTAAAATTTCCATCTCCATCACTGCTTTTCCCCGTGACGCTCTGCTCTGCACACTCGAAGCCATCCCAGACTCGGTTGACGACGCCGAGTTCACAGTTAAGAGTCAGGAAACATTCCAGCTACTCTTCGACATCCTCCTCCTCGAATGCCCCTTCCCCAGAGGTCGCTTTCAGGTACTCCCTCAGCTGACGACATTGCGTCTGCAGACCCAGTACATCGACCACTCAGTATACTTCGCACTGCTGGCCATGCTACAGGCTCGCTCGCAGATCACTGAGTTGGTTGTGCTGCAGCGGGCATACACCTCTGTCGGCGTTGACCCGTCTAATGAGGTGATTCAAGGCTTGCGTGCGCTGCGCGCGAGTCGAGGGTTACGTGTTAAGCTAACCATGGTGGAAAGGAGACCGACTCGGAGACTGTGGACTGAGTCCAGGGTTGTGGAGATTTAATTCACGTATTGTGGATTGTATCTGTGGAACGACAGCAGTCTGTCTGTTCGCCGCCAGGACCATCTCCACACCCTTCTGTGCACTCCGTCTCCGAGTCTCCTCCCGCCGATGCAACTCGCCCAGGTTGTAGTCTCTCAAATTGGCGCTAGTACATACGATTACGGCCTCTGGACCAAGCTATATATATAGCTCGCGATTTCTCTCGCAGAAGTTGTTTATATGTTCGCCTGATGCTTGCGCTCTATATCAGCCACGATACACGGACACACTCGGACACAGTTGCGCCTTTGCCGTACAAACCCTTCGTAATTCGCGGGCGATTCCGCTCTGGGCTCGTTCAAATTCATGTCGCGTGTCAACTCCTTATCTCTTTATCCAGCGAAGGGTCATGAGCGTCCCGAATGGGAAGCCTCAACAAAATAAGTAGGTGAGTTTTGTTCTGATCTCCCGCCCTATACAACTAAGCCCTGCGGAGAAACCTTGGAAAGAGAGGCGATAAATATTGCATCCGTCTTGTGGCCATCTCGGGCCAGCATTACGCGCCAGTGCGGGCAAGGGCCGGTTAACGGCAACTCTATTCACGTCTTATGAAGATGTGTAACCTGTCGAGCGGTCGCGAAGCTCAAGAAAGAAAAACCCTGAGACCGGTCGTTCATCAAGTCAACGTACCACGCTGGGAGGCTTCGAAACTTCGAGTAGAACTTCATCTTACAGTTCAACCAATGAGCTGGAACTAGGAGATCCAAGTCTGTTCACGCGCACGCGCCCACAAACGCGATGATCGATACCGTCCGAACGCCGCCTTGGGGCCCATGTTGAACTGTTGAGATGTTCCAACTCTAAACTGATTGCGTTCCTGTGGCTTGCGCAGAAATTGTAGTGCTTTGAAATGTCGTTTTTTTTCGGACTCAGCTCTCGCCTCGCGTTGCAATTTATCCAAAATGGGCTTTTACTTTCGGAGATTCGCTTGGCTGAAGAAGTTTGCTCCGCCTTCTTCAAAAGTTCAGGTCCTTCTCCATCTCCGTACCCCGTTTGGGGCACCCCCTGTACTTGATCGTGCGGTCGCCGCGGCATCGCTGTTTCAGTGTCCCCGCCTCAGGCTGGACTCTAACGCCGCATCCAACGAATATACTTAGGACGGAACTCTCCGACAGCCTCACATTCGCTTATATTTAGCGACACGATTGGCCCTTACGCCCGTTGATGCGGTGGGCACACTCATAAGCGTTGAACGTTATGCCATTTATCCAAAAGGCGTACGGTGACCCTGCTGTAGCCAGGTACTACTTACGATAGTTGTCTTCGACGAACGTTGCAGAAATGCACCGTTTTTTTTTCTAGGCCTTTGATAGATGACGTCGCCCGAAGATCGGCACTCGACTAGTACTGTTCAAGTGCTAGCGGGAAGCCTAGATGCAGACCGAGAGCCAGACGGAAATGCGACGGAATGGGCGCAAAAAGCCACCAGTCTGATATCAATATCTGACTCGCGAATCGTCAGAACCCGACAGTCAGCGCACGAGCTAGAAGCCTTGCTCGTGACGCATTCGGTGTCCGGTCTCCGCGTGGGTCTCGGAGAGCACTGCAGGGATAGGAAAGGGCTCGCGCCATCGTGCTGGTTAGTGCACCGATATGCGGATAACTTCCTCCAGATGGAGGCAGACGACGAGGTGATAAACATAAATCTATAAGCGTCGTTCATGACCGCAAAAGTCCAAAATCATGGAAAACGCGCGTGCAGAACTCGTTTGAGCGTGCTTCCGTCCATTGCAACTGTCGACGTCTCTTGCAACCAAGCAACGGAGTGAAGTTGAGAATTGACGGTTAATGGGGCAAGGAGTCAGAAGCGTGTTTGTTGCTGGAACTGAGATGGGCGGGAGCGGAGGGAAAACAGTCTTTCATGAATAAAATGATGGCTACACAAGTGTACCGCCAACGACCAGTGCAAGAAGTGCTCCCAGTGTCATTTTGTGGGGAGGAATTCGGTCCGATGCCGATGAAGAGCCCGTGCTATTCGTGGTGGGTGACGCGAGGGAGTCCGATAGGGCACCGCCGGTCACGGTACCAACGCTGGATCCAGATGTGAACGCTGCAGAGTTGCCGGAAGTATCTGAAGACACCGAACATGGGCCGAGTCCAACGGAAATGAACCCTGAGGCGCCCACACCGCCTAAGCCACTCGATGCAACCATCGATTGTACGGTGGTAGGACACAGACTTGCCGTTGTCGAAGAGATGGGCGCCTGAATTGTTTGGGTAATGCCGATGTCCCCAGAACCGGATATGCTGACTAGAAATGTCCCCTCGCTGTTAGAGATCGCTTAATATCGGGAATGAGCAAACGTACATGTATTGCAACCATCCGGAGTACACGATGCGCAGACTTGCTGGACGTTGCCCAGCGTTTCTTGGACAGTTGAGTTGTCGAGGGAACAAGTCGTTGACAAGCATGATGCGAAGGATTGCATCATGGCCGGGAATACGCAGATGCAAGCATACTGTCCGGCAAGGCTATGTGAAGTCAGCCAAGCACTGCGGGATCCACGGGAGGACATGCCCTGGGCAGCCGCCCTGAGTTCCACCACCGGTGGCGTTGTTGAAACATGCATCAATGCAAGCAAATGGTGTGCTTGTTTGCGTTTTCGTCGGGAGAATGGTCACAGTCGAGGTGGGGTTCTCCAAAGGTGTAAATTCAAGTGTCGTAACCGCAGAAACGTGGCCCAGGGATAGCGGGAGGATCAGGATCCAAGGGTGAAAAAATGTCGTGATCATGGACGGAACCAGGCGGCGGATGGTTCTGGTAAACACGACCACATACATCGGCTAGTGTCTATCTCCATATGGCTGGTCCCCTATTTGGCTTCGCAGTGATGCCATCACCGCGCTGTGGTCCATAAAGGTTGGTTCCCGTCCTTCCAATGCCCTGTACCACCCGCTAACCCATTCCAACCCATGGCAGACCTCCCGCTCTCGAATCGCGCTATTAAACGCCTCGGCCTCCCACCCCCACACGCCTAGTGAGTGTCGCGTCCACTATAGGCTTTCTCTCCTCCATCGTCGCTGCATGCGGTCGCTCGGACCGTCCTTTCCGCTGTCGCAATGGTCCTAGTTTCTTTAGCTCACACGACCACCACAGCATTCCGCCTCCGGGCCCATTCTATGACGCGGAATTGTACCCCAATGGGATAATCAACCTCTCAATTGCCGAAAACTCTCTCCTCAGCGAACGCCTGATTGAGGTGCGACTTATCACAAACTCTATCTTCCCCTCCTACTTACTTCTGGAAAAAGCACCTGTCCCGACCGTTGACCGCCCTACGAGCGCAACATCTTCGGTATCGCGCAACGCTCATCAAGACTGACCTTCCAACGGTGGAGGATTTACTCCCCGAGTATGTCAACGACCACTTTAACCCCCGCGTACG